CTTGCCCCAGAGCCCCTAGCTATACCTTGTGGCTAATAGCCATTGATGGACCTCTGCTCCATATGCTTATCTAATTCCCTTTTGAAGCCGTCCATGCTTGTAGCTGCCACCACTTCCTGTGGCAGTGAATTCCAAGTGTTAATCACTCTTTGGGTGAAGAAGTACTTCCTTTTATCCGTTCTAACCCGACCGCTCAGCAATTTCATGGAGTGCCCACGGGTTCTTGTATTGTGAGAAAGGGAGAAAAGTACCTCTTTCTCTACCTGCTCTTTCCCATGCATAATCTTATAAACCTCGATCATGTCACCCCTCAGTCGTCTTTTCTCCAAGCTAAAGAGCCCTAAGCGCTTTAACCTTTCCTCATAGGGAAAGTGTTCCAACCCTTTTATCATTCGAGTTGCCCTTTTCTGCACTTTTTCCAAAGCTATAATATCCTTTTTAAGGTGTGGTGACCAGAACTGCACACAGTATTCCAAATGAGGTCTCACCATTGATTTATATAGGGGCATTATGATATTGGCTGATCTGTTTACAATACCCTTCCTAATAATCCCCAGCATAGCATTTGCCTTCTTTATTGCAGTCACACACTGTCTTGACATTTTTAGTGAGTTATCTACTACAACTCCAAGATCTCTCTCTTGATCAGTCTCTGCCAGTTCAGACCCCATCAATGTGTATTTATAGTTAGGATTTTTGGCTCCTATGTGCATCACCTTGCACTTGGCCACATTGAACCCCATTTGCCATGTTGACGCCCACTTGCCCATCCTTGACAGATCCCTTTGGAGTGCCTCACAATCCTCACTGGTTTTCACCACCCTGAACAACTTCGTATCATCCGCAAATTTAGCCACTTCACTGCTTACTCCCAACTCCAAATCATTAATGAACAAGTTAAAAAGCAGTGGACCAAGTACTGATCCCTGCGGTACCCCACTGCTTACCACCCTCCACTGAGAAAATTGCCCATTTATACTCACTCTCTGTTTTCTATTAATTAGCCAGTTTTTGATCCATAAAAGGACTTGTCCTTTTATCCCATGATTTTTTAGTTTACTTAGGAGCCTTTGATGAGGAACTTTATCAAAAGCTTTCTGGAAGTCAAGGTAAACAATATTTATTGGGTCCCCCTTGTCCACAAGTTTGTTCACCCCCTCAAAGGACACTAACAGGTCAGTGGGACAAGATCTTCCCTTACAGAACCCAGGCTGAGTCTGCCTCAATAGGTTTTGTTCATCTATGTGCCTACTAATTCATTGCCTGCCTGTGACCAGGTGCTCACGTAGCACTTTTTGGGGTTTGATGTTGCAGGGCACCCCTACTGGGTGGTAACTCAGATGCACTCTGGCCCTTGTTAAGAACATAAGAGAAGCCAATGTCGGATCAGGCCAATGGCCCCTCCAGTCCAACACTCTGTCACACGGTGGCCAAAAATACCAGGTGCCACCAGGTCCACCAGCGGGGCCAGGACACTAGAGACCCTCCCACGGTTGCCCCACCCCCCCAGCACCAAGAAGACAGAGCATCCCTTGCCCCAGACTGATAGTTCCTATCTAAAGACACTGCAGGTGTCATGTGCAGTGGTGGATCGCGGGGACAGGCTTTTCACGCCAGCCAGGGGACCTTGAAATTCTGAAAGCGAGATGAACATCCAAGACTGGTGTCGTCCCCGTCCCCCCCCCGGCCCTTAATTTATGAGATCCAGAAGTCTCCTTTTGCAAGCAGGCAGAGACGATGCAGGCAAGAGAAAAGACACAAAATGGAGGGAGGCAAAGCAGCATTAACTTAGGAAGCCCCCCCTCCCCCCTTAGCCCAGAAGTAACCTTGTTGCCTGAAACCAGATCAGGGATGTGATGCCAAAGGGGTTCTACGCCCTAACAGGAAGCAACGGAAGGGCAGAGCGCAGGTGTATCAGTGATCTAGGAGGGTCGATTCGAAGGAGTTTGTTCCTTTCTTCTATCACCTCCTGCTGCTTGTCCAGCAGTCCAACCCCCCCCCCCCATGGGTTTCCTGCTTCCGCCGTCACATTTCAAGGGGTGTGTTTTGCTCTGGCTGGTTCTGTTGAGCTGGCTCTGGCCACAGCCTGTGGGTGGCCGCTTTCTCCGTATGGGACAAGGTTTCCTTTGGGGAGCTTACAAACAAGCCCTCCCCCCTCCGGTTTGTATGCAACCATCTGACGGGTAGACTTCCTCTGAACACAGCAATTCCTTTTCACTGGTAAGAAGCACTCGGAGGTGGCTGGAGCCGAGGGCAGGTGAGGGGAACGGTTCGGCCTTGTAATAAAACACCTCCACTCTTAGAAGTTTCTCGAGTGGAACAGGATGTTGACAAGCTCGAACGTGTCCAGAAGAGGGCAACCGGGATGGTGAGAGGGTTGGAATCCAAGTCTTATGAGGAAAAGCTGAAAGAGTTGGGTATCTTTAGACTGGGAAAGAGAAGGCTTAGAGGGGACATGACTGCAGTCTTCAAGTATTTGAAGGGCTGTCATGTAGAAGATGGATCTATTCTCTCTTGCTCCGGATTGCAAGACTGGATCTAATGGGTGGAAATGACAAGGGAGTCGTTACCGGCTAAATATAAGGAGAAACTTCCTGACTGTAAGAGTGGTTGAGCAGTGGATGTCTGCCTCAGGAGGTGGCGGGTGCTCCTTCGCTGGGCGTTTTCAAGCGGAGGTTGGACGGCCATCTTTCGGGTGTGTTGTCGGACCGTCTTTCGGCTGTGTTGTCGGACCGTCTTTCGGCTGTGCTCCTGCAGAGTGCAGGGGGTGGGACCAGATGACCTGCAAGGTCCCTTCCAACTCTAACCTTCTATGATTCTATGAGTGGTCTTCTGGGACAATTTCCCACTTACATGCAGTGCTGTGGGCGGCCACTGTTCCCAGTCGGTCTGGCAAAGCTTCTGCCTCACGCCAGACCCCACGTGCCCTCCTCTCAGGGGCCTGCACTCTTGTTACGCCCCAACCAAGGGTTCGGAGAGCAGGCGTTGATTGGACAGAGGCGTTTTCCCCAGTGACGGGACTCCCTCCTTCCCTGCTCGCTTTCGAGAGTTTTGGCCAGGGAGTGAGTGAGAGGAAGCCTTTCCGGTGCCACACTGCCTTCCACCCACAGAGATCTGCTGCTCCAGTTTAGCCCGGGGAGAACTTCTTTTTTACCTAAGGTTGGCCAGGGTGCAGCTATGAACACCTGAGAGGCAGCTACCTATGCCCGGGATCTGTGGACCGGGGTAGTGTGACCCGCACACTGGCATGGAAAGACGCACCCTTCCTAAAGCCGTACCCAGGATGGAAGAACCAAGCCACAGCCCTTTCTGAGCTCCCCAAATTGTGCCCCCCCAACCCCCACATCCAATGCGCCCTCTAAGCCAGTGGTGGCAAACTTATGGCCCTCTCTGTGGGCACGCGTGCCATCGCCCCAGCCAGGCCCAGACCACCACTAAAGTGTCGAATTCTCTGCCAAATAATTTTAAGTCAATGAAAGCATTTGGGATCGCTTCCCTTACTTTGTTTGGATCATCTTAAGTTAGTGTATGAGTTGTTTTTTCTAAAGTAAAACCTCCGCATTCAGGTTAAACTGCCGCGTTGGCACTTTGCGATAAATAAGTGGGTTTTGGGTCACAGTTTGGGCCCTCGGTCTCTAAAAGGTTCGCCATCACTGCTCTAAGCTGTGGAGTCTTGTGAGCAAAGATTCTACTTTTGCAAGCTACTGGGCATTAAAGTTGTGAGCCAGCGATTTGGCTGCTGCATAAATTAAGTTGGCTCTGGAGCCAGGCTTCCTGAGCGGAGACAAAAATGTGTGAGCCGGAGGCTAAAAAACTGTGAGCCAGCTCACACTAACTCAGCTTAGAGGAAAAACTGCCCACCTCGATCAATAAGGTTTCACCATCAGGGGACACTTGACCAACTCAGAACAACTCAGACCCAGACCACCATTAAAGTGTCGAATTCTCTGCCAAATAATTTTAAGTCAATCAAAGCATTTGGGATTGCTTCCCTTACTTTGTTTGGATCATCTTAAGTTAGTGTATGAGTTGTTTTTTCTAAAGTAAAACCTCCGTATTCAGGTTAAACTGCCGCGTTGGCACTTTGCGATAAATAAGTGGGTTTTGGGTCGCAGTTTGGGCACTCGGTCTCTAAAAGGTTCGCCATCACTGCTCTAAGCTGTGGAGTCTTGTGAGCAAAAATTCTACTTTTGCAAGCTACTGGGCATTAAAGTTGTGAGCCAGCGATTTGGCTGCTGCATAAATTAAGTTGGCTCTGGAGCCAGCCTTCCTGAGTGGAGACAAAAATGTGTGAGCCGGAGGCTAAAAAACTGTGAGCCAGCTCACACTTAACTCAGCTTAGAGGGAACACTGCCCACCTCCATCAATAAGGTTTCACCATCAGGGGACACTTGACCTACTCAGAACGACGGGATTGGGGCTGTTTGCTTGTGGGTCGTGCCGCCCAGTGAACGGATCCTGCCTGTCCTGTTCTCCGCCACCTGCCCTCGCTCCCTGTATTAAAAGGGCCCCCCCGAAATCTCTCACAGGCAGCTGCGGTTTATTGAAAATCGGTGTTTCTTTTTATTGTAATCCAAAAAGTAACAGAGTGGGGCTGAAATGCATTCTCTGCAAGAGTCCTCTCGGCTGGCATTTTAGAACCGATACCAGCCATTTCCTTTTTTTTTTCCTTTTCTCCCCGACAGGCAATTAAAAAAAAATATTTTTTTTTAACGTGAAAATTTTCACAGTACAGTAAACTCCACCCAAAAACTAACTTTTAATGGTGGCTCTCAAAAAAAAAGAAAAAAAAAAAGGATGCCCCGGAGGAAAGGATAAAATAAAATCAAACCAAGGCCCTTCTCCCAGACGCCGCCCCCCCGCCCCCCGATGACATGGTCACAAGTCACGAGTCTGTACAAAAGGTTTACTTTATAAAGCTCGGATGTAAAAATCCACTCCAGCAGCAATCCGGAAAGTGCAGCCTTGCCCCCCCCCCACTTCCCAAAAACCCCCGGTGGCATTATGTACAAGGTGGCCGGGGGGGGGGCACTCCGTCCCTTCCCTGCCAGTCCCCCTCAGACAGCCACACCCCCCTTGGCTTTTTGGTCCTCCTTCTCCTTCTCCTTGTCCTTGCTCTTCTTGGACTTCTTCTTCTTGTGTTTGTGTTTTTGGCTCTTCTCCGCCTCGGCCTCGCCGCCCGCGTGCTTCTTGTGCTTCTTGTGCTTTTTGTGCTTCTTGTGCTTCTTCTTGTCCTTCTTCTTCCGCTTCTTCTGGCTGTCCTGGCTGTCCGCAGAGCTGGCGCTGCTGCTGCGGCCCTGGCTCCCGGAGGGGCTCTGGCTGCGGCTGGCGCTCGGGCTGCTCCTGGCGGGCGGGCCGACTGGCCCGGCTGCTGCCGCCGGCGCCGGCTCTTGAGCTTTGTCGGCGGCCTTCTCCTTCCCGTCCCGGGCACTCCTGCCTGGCAGGTCACACCCCTGGACGGAGGCGCCGCTATCGCTGTCGCTCTCATTGTAGTCTGGGACAAACGCGGCCTCGTCCGTTTCCCTCGTCGGGTCGGAAGACAGCCGGGAAGAGTGGCTCGGCTGGGGCTCTGATTTGGAGGAGGAGGAGCTCTTCTCGCTCGGCACGGGCCCCGGCTCTCTCGTCTCTGGGGAGGACCGCCTGTGCGAGGGCTTGCTTCCACCCACCCTCTCTTTATTGCTCCGGGTCTCGGAGGACGGCCGCTTCTCCCTCTCTCTGCCGGAGCCTCTCTCCTGAGATTTGCGGTGTTCCGCCGGGTGCCTGGACTCATGGGTGGACTTGTGGTCACTCGGCCTGCGGTCCCTTGGAGGGCTGTAGCTGCTCCGCCGGTAGTCCCCACCTCCCTTTCTGGCCTGCTCCAGTCTCTCGTCCCTCGGCTTATTCTTTTGTCCCGAAGAAGAGGTGGGCTCCCGACTTCGGGAAGGGGAGGCTTTCTTCCGGGAGACGTCGCTCCTGTCCTCTCTCCGCTTTGAGTTCGAGTGGTCTCTGCTGCTGTCGTGGTCGGACTTCTTGTCCCAGGTCGGCGTGAAGTCCCTGGCGGAAGATCCGTGGGCAGAGTCGTGCTTTTCTGAAGATCTGCTCTCTTTGGAAGAGTGGGAAGAGGAGCCACCCTTTGCAGTGGCTTGCTCAGGGCGCTCCTTCTCCGGCTGGACCCCACTCTTCTTCTTCTCAGAAGAGTCTCTGTCAGAGGCGGCAGAAGGGTCCCGGTCCCTGCCTTTCCCTTTCTCGTTCACTAATGTAGTTTTGGAGCTTTTGGAGTCAGGCAAGGCACTCTCGTGCCCGGGTTCTTTCAAGGCTTTCTGATTCTTCTCCGAAGGCTCGGGGTCCTTCTCAGTCTGTTTGACGGGGGGCTTTGGGCCGACGGTCTTTATGACGCTCGTGGGCTTTGCGACCGCGGAAGGGACTTGTGTCGACTTCGCCTCCTCCTCCTCCTCCTCTTCCGAATCAAACTCGTCTTTGTCCCACTTGGACTGCGGCACTTGGATCATGATGATGACGTCCTCCGCGGGGGCCGTGATGTCATTGTTGTACTCCTCCATCGTCTTGATGACGGTTCGCTTGGTGTCCGGCTTCTCCTCTGACTTCCGTACGGGGCTTCCTCCAGCAGAGCTGGTGCTAGGAAGGAAGGGGAGAACAAGGATCAAGAAGCAGCCCCGCTTAGACAGAGAGCGCTCACCAACTGGCACGGAGGGCGGGCGCCTTTCTGAAAAGCTCGAGACCACAGGCCACGGCACGGGCCACCCCATTTCAACTGACAAAGAAATCTGTCATATACCACCCCCTGCCTAAGAAACGTATGCTGAGCCTCCCCCCCCGGGGGGGGGGGGCTATTTTAGAGCCTCCTCCTAAGGATCGCTGCCCTGAATTTCCCACTGCAGGAAAACAATCCTGTTCCTCTCATAGTCTAAATGTCAGCCTTCAAAATTGTCCTGTATTGTAGTTTCTTATAGAGCAGGGGTGTCAAACATGCGGCACGGGGGCCGGATCAGGCCCCTAGAGGGGTTTCCATCAGGCCCGCAGTTGAACTGGCCATCTCCTGCTTCCAGTTTTGCGTCACCAGACTCTCTTAATCACTCAGCCATTTCATGTTTTAACCTGGGTCCTAGACTCAGAACTCTGAGCATGAGATTTCTGTGGTGAATGTCAATAAATCAAAAGTAGGTGTGCAACTTACAGAGCTGATGTTTTAAACATGTTTTTATTTTGAGTTAAAAAAAACCCTGTTTGTCCTTTATAAAATTTATATCTCTGCTACCTGGCACCAATGTTCCCTCTAGGCTGCGGAGTCTTGTGAGCAAAAATTCTACTTTGTGAGCTCCTGGGCATTAAAGTTGTGAGCGAGCGATTTGGCTGCTGCATAAATTGGTTTGCTCTGGGGCCCTCCTTCCTGAGCTAAGACAAAACTATGTGAGCCGGAGGCTAAAAAACTGTGAGCTGGCTCACACTAGCTCAGCTTAGAGGGAACACTGCCTGGCACTACATTTTATGACACACATGGCCCGGCCCGACAAGGTCTCATTTATGTCAGGTCCAGCCCTCATAACAAATGAGTTCGACACCCTTGTGTTTGTGCAGTCTTTCTAAGACAACCTGATGAAGAAGTTAACAGAAGCGATGGGCCTCCGGCAATGGTTCCCCACCGAAACCAGATCTGCAAGAGGCCACACAGCTCAGCTCCCAGTCCAAGGGCAAACCCCCTCTGCTAGCAACCTCCTCTTATCGACCCACACAATGTTGCTATGTGTGTGTGACCCACAGATGATGAGGGACACGTGTCGGACCTTGGGCCCTGGCTGAGACTGTCTGGAATCACAGCAAACACGTTACTCATCCTTGCCCTAGGAGTCACCACAGTAAGAACATAAGACCGCTCTGCAGTTTCATGGAGTGCCCACGAGTTCTTGTATTGTGAGAAAGAGAGAAAAGTACCTCTTTCACTACCTGCTCTATCCCATGCATAATCTTATAAGCCTCGATCATGTCACCCCTCAGTCGTCGTTTCTCCAAGCTAAAGAGCCCTAAAGAGTCCGCAATACTCGGGGGGGGGGACACGTTGGAGAGGAGAAGCAGCACTGATCATCCGAGGTGGAAGGAAAGCTTTGAAGCTCTCCTCAGCAGTGTCAGACCTACTAGTGCTCCTTGCCGGGAGCTCTCTCTCTCTCTCCTGGATGGCAGGAACTGTCCCCAGGGCTGCCAAGCAGAGGTGCCGAGGACTGAACTGGGGGGGCGTGCTGAGTTCAATCCTACACACTCGCCAATCTTCCCCACCCCTCCTCTTTCCAAAAGATGATGCTAGCAAACTGGGGTGGTGGTGGTGCGCTCATGGGGCCAACGCCACAGAATGTGGGAGGAGGGCAACAGCGGCTTCTCGCTCCTGACAGCCAGAAGACGTTCCAATGTGCGGGAGGATTCTGCCGCCTTCTCCCTCCTCCTCCCTCCAGCTCCCTGGGACATGTTGTCCATGCAGCTCCAGACACAAAAGGGAAAAACAACAACAACAAGCTGTATGCAAGGTGATAACAGAATCCATGCTCAAAACACATGGGAAAAACCTTATGGAGTGCTGATGCCAAACCATGCATAAACGAGAATGATAACAAAGAAGAAGGGAAGGAGGTCCCCCAAAAGGTGCAGGTTGACGAAGTGTTCCGGAATACAAATTCGTCTCGACTGGCTTCATCCAAACAGGAATTTGGACCTCTGTCCCTTCTTCTTTGTATCTTTCCCATTTATACATGGGTTTGACATCAGCACTATATAAAGTTTTTTCCCCCCATGCGTTTTGAGTATGGATTCTGTACAGCGCTTGCATACAGCTTGTCTTTTCTTTCGTACTTGGAGCTTTGGAGCTGCGATTCTCTTACTGCACACTGTCCATGAAGATTCCCCAACTCTCCAGCATCGGCTCTGCTTCCAGGGGGGGCGGTCATCGTGGGCTGCTGCTGAGGAAAGGGAAGGTGGGAGCGATCCCCTTCCACAAGCAGCCTTGCGGTCCACAGGAGCCAACCAGGGGCCCCAGTCCCTTCTCCTCCCCAGAAGATCACTAATAAGTTGCATGAATAAAAGACACACACACACCACCCTGCAAGGACAAGCACCCACCAGCACTGTTTGGACTCCATGGGAGTTCCGATCAGAGCAAAGCCTGCTGCTCCCCAGGATCGGGGATCCAGCCCCACGGGCGAGGGACGGGTGGGTCCCAACACGCCCTGAGGAGAGAGACTCTGGCGCCTGCTGGCCACCCGACTGTACCTGGGGTAGTCGACCAGCGTGGAGGTGGATCCATCCCCTGCCGCCACCTTCCTCCGCAGCTTCCCTTTGGCCTTCTCGGGCTTCCCTTTGCTGTTGGCCGGCTCCGGTTTGTCCGCTGGGGGGTCTTTGGGAGGGGGCACGCTCTCGGCACTGACGATCTTTTTACCCGTCTCTCGGTTCAACTTTATCTTCTTGGCCGGCACCACCGGCGACACTGTCTTCTCCTTCTCGGGGCTCCGGGCCGCCCTTTCTCCCTCGGGCTCCGCCGGGCCCTTGGGCGAGAGTTTCACCTCCACCACCTCCGGCTTGGGAGGCTTGACTGCGGCAGTGGCAGCGCCGGCGGCTTCTGGGTCCTTCTCTGCCTTCTCCTCGACCTTCCTTTTCCTCTTCTCGGTCTTTGCCTCCACGGCTTTGCTCCGGTCGGCCGGCTTCTTAGCCTTCTCCTCCTTGCTCGGCGGCGGCTTCTCGGCCTTGACTTCCTTGGGGTGCTCCTTCTTGCCTCTCTCCTCCTTGGCTGACCTGGATTCTGGGTGTTCTTTCGTGGCTCGGAGGTGAACTTTCCGTGGGGTGCCGAGGGGCTTCTCGTCCCTCTGAGAGGATGACTTGCTGCTCTCCGCCTTGGGCAATTCCTCCTTTGCTTTTTTGGACGGAAGCTCAGCCCGCGGGGACTTCTCGTGATCTCCCTCCGACTTCTCCGGGGCTACTTTCGCCGGCTTTGCCGCTGCGTCTTTCTTGGGGGTGGTCGCGCCCTCCACTTTGCGCTTGGCCTTCTCGGCTCTTGCCTTTGGCTTCTCTTTCCTCTCCTTGTCAGACGTGGGCTTGAAGGCAACCGAATCGGCTTCCATGGGCTCGTCCCGGACAGGGGTGGCGTCGTCCCTGCTCGGGAGCATGAAGAGGGGCTCGGGTTTGCTGTCTTCCCCCCCAGCAGTGTCCCGGGACTTCCGTGAGCCCTCCAAGGAGTCCGTGCTGGGGAGAGGGCCTTCGCCCTCCTCTCCCTTCCTTCTCTTCCGGTGCTTCTTATGTTTGTTTCCTTTCCCGTCTCCTGAGGTGTTTTCGAGCTCCTTCTCTTTCAGCTTGGCCATTTCTTTCATCCCGTGGCCCTCTCGGCCGGGCAGCTTCTCGGAGTAGCTGGGGCCAATGCCGCGATTCCGATGGCCGAGTCCTCCTCCTCCCGGGTACTCATCTCTGCGCCCCCGAACATACGGAGAGTTCTCTCGGCGAGGTCCCGGTGGGCCGAAGCGCTCCGGGGAGAAGTTCTCCCTGTTCAGCAGAGGCCTGGGCTGGGCCCCAGCCGGGAAGCCCTTGTAGTATTTCTCGCACCAGTCTCTGTAGCACTCCCAGTCACGGACTCGGTCCTTCTCAAAGAGGTCTCCTCTCAGGTCCACGGGCCTCCCATAGTATGCTTTCACGTCGTAGGCCGGGACTTCTCGGTATCGGCCAAAGTACTCCCTCTCTCCTTCGGGCTGAGGAACGGGGCGCTTATTGGGGGACTGGGCCCTGTAGGCGGGAGACCTGGATCGAGAATGGTACCTCCGGTAGGGTGGAGACCTGGACCGGGACCGGTGATATCCGTGGGACCGTGATCGGGAACGGTAATTCCGGCTTTTCCCCCTGCCCCTCCGGGGGTAGGGGGGTGAGCGGGAGTAGGAGCGGGAGTGGGAGCGGCTGAACGACCGGGAGTAGGACCTCGAGCGGGACGAGCCAGATCGCGACTTGGAGTACGTGTAGGAACTTCTTGAATACGAAGACGCGCTGTAGGGTGACTTGGAGCTTAAAAGACAAAGTGGGGAGAACACGCTTACCAGAAATGTATAACTTCAGCTGCTTCACTTATGCGTTAAGGGGCATGGCCAGGCCAATCTGTCGTGGCTGAAGCCAGACCAGAGAATACGCACAGCTGCCGTTTTCCCTCTAAGCTGAGTGAGTGTGAGCCAGCCCACAGTTTTTTAGCCTCCAGCTCACAGTTTTTTGTCTTGGCTCCAGAGCAGACTAATTTATGCAGCGGCCAAATCGCTCGCTCACAACTTTAATGCCAGTGGCTCACAAAGTTGAATTTTTACTCACGAGACCCCACAGCTTAGAGGGAGCGTTTTCCGGGCACCCGCCTCGGGGCTGATGCGGGCTCAAAGGCAGTTCCCACCCCGCTCTCTTCCCCGAACGGCAGGTCACAAATAGCTCTTGGGACTCCCAGAACGTTCGGAAGACCATCTGCCAAGAGACTATGGGGAAAGCGAGCCATGCAGTTCTTTAGGTTTTGCTTTAGAATCAACATGCACCCCCTAGAAAGCTAAGGAAAGCCAACTGCCTGGAATCCTAAAAGGCCCCAGCTATTCAGCCCTCCAAAGTAACACTGTCAGTGAGGAGAGATTTTATCTGGACAGCAGCACTTGGCACCACAGCTGAACTATGCGCTCTGCATTTATGGATCCTACGTCAGCCCCATGCCATGTGCAGTGCATAGGAATGCACCAAGCCAGCTTATGCTCTGATGGCATCAAGCCCCTAACTGTCTACTCCAAGGGGAAGCACTGCTTCAAATTTTCAGGCCCTGCGGCTTTCCCCCTCCCTAGAAAAGGGGCACTTGATGCATCTGGGATATTCCTCATGCAAACCTGCAAGCTCCACCGCCCACCTCGCAGATACGGTGATCACCCCCCCAAAAAAATCCCCAACCCCCCCAATTACCGGGAATAAGAACGCCTGCGCTCCTTCTGGATTTTTTTGTATTCCATCAGTTCCTTAGCAAAATCATTTGTAAACTCATCAAGTTTCGACTTTTTCTTTTCCCTGTCAAAATAACAAAGGGATTGGTGATGTGATATCACGCAACTGGACATCGTTTACAACGGCATTCAGAGGAAAAACCACACCATCTTGAACAGGGACACCGCATGCAAACAAGACACGGACATGCTACTGGAACACAAAAAAAAAAAGGCCAGCGCAGGGTTTCTAGAGGTGTTATGTTAGCAGCAAAGATCTGGGTTATTTTTGATTGGTAGTGGAAAATCAACATTTTTGAAATCTCATGTTATATGTCATTTTTTCCCTTATGGCAGTCCAACAGTCTACTGAAACAGAAGAATGAAATATAACGGAACTCCGTTCACAGCCGTATATACTTACTCCTCTTTCAGTCTCCGTTGCTCTCTGTAAAACTCCTCCCTAGATAGAGGAGGTGGTTGTGTCGTTGGGATGGCATTTGAGTGAGCCGTTGGCACTGGTGTTGGTACCCAAGGTGTTGATATGTTTGCTGGAGCTGGGGGGTATCCCGGAGGGGGGACCGTGTACCCGGCAGGTGGAGGTTGACCCGGTGGAAACTGAGGAGGAAACTGTGGCGGAGGCACCCCCGGTGGAAGAGGAAGGGCGTGCGGGGGGGGAGGAGGGTACAGGGGGGGCGGAGGAGGCGGCACGGGCACAAACACTTGGGTGGAGGCTGGCAGTGTTGGGGCCTGGGTCCTTTGTGTGCGGTCACTATGCGGGCGTCCTCGGTTTGAACTTCTAAAGAAACCCAAAAAGACGTTGTCACTGAGTGTTACACTTGTCCCCGGATTGCAAGAGAGGGAAGGGAGGTGGACCCTGGGTGCGCCCCTTCGTAGTCAAATGCCCCTCCTCAGCCGCAGGGCCTCCTCCACTCTACGCTGCTCCGCTGCTCCCCCGGAGCCCAGGCGGCACTGGCCACACCCCAAGCCCCCTCCCCAATGAGCTGCCGGCTTCTGCCGACAGCAAGGCCTCCTAAGCGTTACCTAACGCCCTGAGCACTGGCCAAACCTCTTCTACGCGGCATTCCCGTGCAGCTGCTGCTCTCGCTGGCGGAAGGCGTGACGTCAGAGCCTCCGCTGCATTTCCAGTTCAGGGAGGGCTTTGGAGCCTTGACGTCCCCAACACATCGAGCCACCTGGGACAGCCCTCTCTGCCGGGGATGAAGGCGGGAACCTGGGCTTCTCACTTCCCCTGCCTACGGGAGGTGCTGCTGCCAACACTGGGACTGAGGCGGGCTCCTCTTTCCACTCCAGTCCTTGCCCCCGTGCCAGACAACCCCCTTTCCTGCCCGCTGCCGTTAACTGCCTGCTGCCCACAAAACGCTTTTACAGACTTTAAAAGCGGCAGCGGCAGCTGGAGCTTCCTTTCGTTCTTCCAAACTACCCTCTCCCTCCACGCCTACATTAACGGATTCTTAGCACGCACTCTACACTTACTGCCGAGGAGAAAGGAGAGACATGCATTTCAGAGGCATACTTACGGCTCCCAGCCGGACCGGCTGCCTGCGGTACGAACCGGGTTGGGTCTCAGTGGCTGACCTGAGGGAGGGAGGGAGAAAAGAGCGAGGGGCCGTGAATACACCGAAATGGGCACCTGCGTCCAAAGGCGGGAGTCCCCCGTGAGCCACGCCAGCGCCACTTACCCATGGAGGGGATGGAGTGCCCGTGGGGGCCCAGCTGCCCTGCCAAGGCCGCCTGCCCAAGCACCGGAACCCGGTAGCCCTTGGAGGAAGGACAGGAAGAGAATGAGTGGCCGCCGCCGCTGCGGTACATGGGGCCGGGCGCCTCCACTCCGGGAACGGCGCGTACCTTCTCCTCCATCACAGTGTTCATGGACAACAAGGAAGGCGGCTTTGAGTGTTCCGAGGCAGGCACCAGAGCGGCCGTGGGGCCGATGCCGTCACCCTCCCTGGCACGGAAGAGGCAAAAGTCAAGGTTAGGAAGCGCTAGGACAGGGGTGTCGAAGTCATTTGTTACAAGGGCCGGATCTGACATGAATGAGACCTTGTCGGGCCGGGCCGTGTGTGTCATAAAATGTACTGCCAGGTAGCGGAGACAGAAACTTCATAAAGGACACAAACACAAAGGGGTTTTTTTAAAACTTAAAATGCAAACATGCTTAAAACATCAGCACCCTTGCGATATTTTATTTGTGTCTGATAACTGACACCTCTTGCTCTGGATTATTGCATCAAGACGTCTGTGCTGTGGCAGTCTTGAGTATGCTGTTCAGCGGTGCGTCTCTGTAAGCTGCAAACCTAGGATGACGCAGCAGCGGCAGAACTGGAAGAAGCGGCAGAAGACAGTCAGTTCCACCGCGGGCCTGATAGAAGCCCTCCGGGGGCCTGATCTGTTTGACACCCCTGCTCTAGGAGGAGCAGGATTCAGCGCTCAACGGTCCCAGAATATAACGTCCGTGTCTGCGGTAACAGGCACACTTCCGGTCAACCCAGCATAAAATCCATACAACCCCCCCCCCAAAAAAAAAAGACGCAGGAAGGGGGCAGAGAGAAACAGCTAAAATGATCAGAAGAACAAAGAACCTTCCCTATAATAAAGGCCAGGTTTGAGGTGAAACAGATCGGGGAGCTGTGTTCTGTAGTGCTAACACAGCTCAAGGCAGAAGACGTTCAGAAGTGATTTCCCACCGCCTGCCTCCATGTAGCGACTCCGGACTTCCTTGGCGGTCTCCCATCCAGATGCTAACGAGGGTCGGCCCTGCTTAGCTGGCGGTCTGATGAGATCAGGCCGGCCAGTGCACATCCAGGTCGGGGCAAAGACAACTCTGGGTGCTGCCGATTCGCCAGAAGCCCTGCCTGCCCGCCTGGCACGAACCCACAGGCAAAGGGGTGGGGGTGCAGGGTGCCCTGCCTCACCCCTCGGGGAGTAAAATGCCGTGGGGCGGAGCCCCATGCTGACATCACATCCAGACTGGTAAATATCAGAAGGCAGACTCAGCTCAGTTTTTATCTAGCCGCCTTGGGAACGACGCAGCTTGCTGAACCTTAGGAAGCCCTGACAGGCCTCGTAACTCCCCATGCCTCTGCTAAACTCAGACAACCCCTTTTGAAGGACGGCTGATGACACTGCGCCTGAACCCCGGACCCAGAGGCTCCCTCCCTCCCTCCCTGCCCCTTGCTCACGATTGGGACTGGGTGGAAACAGCAACTCTGTTTTGTGCCTAAGTCAATCTGTGCAAGGCCCTCCTCCGCTCCCCCATCCGGACCATACCAACGGCAGACATGCCAACCATGTCCGGCAACATCCTTGCCGATCCCCTCGCGTGAATTTCCTGCTTCATTTTCGTCCTGAAGAATTCTGGTGAGCTTGGAACCCCGGCTCGCTACTTCGGGGCGTTCTTGCTAGTTCGTACTGCCCCTTTGGTGGGGGCCAACACAGACAGCTGCAGTCTTTCTATACGGTGTGAGCTGGCTTACCGGAATGGCCCTTCGGGCTTGTCTGGGTGAATCGCCATGGAAACAGGTGCTGGGACCTCACCAGCAGGAGCGGAGGCAGACAGGTTGACTGGAGCCAGGGGCAAGGCGAGGGATGCGGCGGCGTGGACCGGAGCTGACGAAGGCGGAACCATCAGGGGGTCTTGCTGTCTGGACATGCCTGCCCTCGGCAAGGATGGCACGTTCCGCGGAGCCGGTGGCCGAGGGAGCGGGGCTGGTTTGCGGAGCCGCTTCGTGTAGCCGGTTTCGTTCTTGAAGTTATTGACAGCCTGCCAGTGAAAGGAACGGGTCAGCCCACCAACAGTCCCCTGTCCAGCACCAGATACTCCCAAACGCTGGGAAACCGTTAGTGTGCTACATGGGGGTTTGAGATAAGGGACCAGGAAGTCCTTCTTCACCCAAAGAGTGATTAACACATGGAGTTCACTGCCACAGGAGGTGGCGGCAGCTACAAGCATGGAAGGCTTCAAGTGGGGATTGGATGAACATATGGAGCAGAGGTCCATCAGTGGCTATTAGCCACAAGGGATAGGTAGTAACTCTCTGTCTGGGGCAAGTGATGCTCTGTATTCTTGGTCCGGGGGGGGGGGGGAAAAGGGGGGAGGGCTTCTGG